GGACCTTCGAAGAATTTTCGCGTTGGTAACGGTAGCACGCAGCAGTCCGAGAGCTTTGTTCTGTTATCACAGAAGCTTGGTGGCTTTACCGTATCATTGGGATTGTTCACCATCGACTCGAGAGGAGTCGCGCTTCTGATCGGGATCAAAACACTTGAGAAGCTCGGGGCAGTTATAGATTGTAGCCGTGGTGTCATGATCATGAAAACCATAGATGACTCCTTGGTCGTACCACTGAATCACAGTGCGGCTGGACACTTGCTCTTGAATATGGCCACACAGGATTGGCTGGAAGGTGGAGCGAAGATCCACTACCTCGAGAGCACCAACGCCAGCGAGGAAAAGAACCTAGGAGCGTTTTCATGGTCACGTCTGAGGGTGTGCCTTCTTGCGCTGAGGAGCTGGATGTTGCACATAGTCTCTCAGATCAGGAGTGGCAACATGTGTCTAGCATGCCGTCAGAGAGTGTGGGTGAGTTGTTGGCAGATGCGTTCACAGTCCGCATCGCACATCAAGATGAGGCGACAACACATGTTGCAGAACCTTTGCCTCAAGGTGAGGCGATGCCACTTCGAGCATTGACTTTGCTAGCTGCGTTTCCCCTTGCACTCGTTGCCTCCACTGGTGATCATGGCCGAGGCGGCGACCGCATCAGACCCTCCGGTGACTACCTCGGCGGCAGCATCCAAAGGCAAGGGGAAAGGCAAGAAGAAGCCCAAGGTGCCGTGGGAGGACAAGTACGATGCATCCCGGACGACGGGTCCGGATCCGCGAGATCCCCGTTGCACTGGACCCCCATGCAACGGGAGTCATCAACCGAAGGCGAACGCCAATCAGGCGGCATATTGGACCACGTGCACATGCTGCGGAATGAGACTGAGCTACACACCGGTGTTCGGCGGCCATGGCATCTACCGCAAGGCGGGACCGATTCCGGAGGATACCAAGGTTCAAGTGGAGGCTCTCGGCGAACAAGCACCGTACAGCGACTACCTGAAGGACCGCACGATCGCGATGGATGCTGCCGAGAGGAGCTGCTTGAAGCGTTTGGAGAAAATCCGGGCGGACAAGGAGAAGTTGGCACCACGTGGAGCGAGGCCGAAGGCAGGGACAACACCTTTCCCACAACACCCCGGGGAACCATCAACGGCACCACCGCCGAAGAGTCTGACTCCATCAGGACCGGTGGTGGACTTGGAAGCGGGTCAACATATGCCACCACATCCTTCCAGAGAGCGGACGCAAAGCGGAGGAGCCACCGGAGAACATCGACCAGATCAAGAATTCTCCTCAACCGTCGGAGACCTCGGATGCTTCATGGGGCAATGTGTCTCATCCTGGCGGGACCGCTTCGGAAAGTTGAAGGGACCGCTGGATGGCGGCAATGAGGAGGTTGGCGACAATCTCCAGGTGGACGATGCGGGCATGACTATCCCGGCGGAGGGCCACCTCACCTTCGAGGAGAAGAAGCTGATGCTGAGCTACATTCAGGAGGGCCACCAGGAGATTGAGCAGTTGGTAGCCGCATGTGGTTGTGTTGGTGAACGACTTGACTTAGTGGAGCTGACCAGTGATCCACAAAGTGGGGTGACCGAATGGGTCACCAAACTTGGCGGGCGCGCGATCCGAGCGGGCGTGGCCAATGGATGTGACCTTCTTCGACCTGCTGGACGGGAACAACTACGGCGACTACTTCGTGAACATCGTCCTCGATGGGTGTGGGCATCTTTTGATTCTCCTGTTGCCGGATTAGATTAGATGACGATGGAGTGGAGGACACATGGTGGAAGGCTCAATCCATGCGAAAACGAGCCCGGAGATTGCTTCGACATGCCACCATTATCCTCTCAGAGTTCGTGAAAGACGGCGGCAATGTGGTTTGGGACTGGCCCAATGGAGCTCAAGCCTGGAGATTTCCTGAGATGGCACGTTTTTGGGCGGAGGTTCCTGACCATGACGAAGTCGTATTACACGGATGCCAATTTGGAGTTCAGGGTCCCTCAGGTTCATGGTTGGGCCGAGCATGGAAGCTGAGATGCACCGTGCCGGGAACATTCCAACGGATGGGGCGACCATGTACTGGTGATCATGTACATGCATCACCCCTTGACCGCTTCGCTGTCCCAGGTAACGCCTGGCACACGCCATCATTTAGCAAGGCAGCGGCGAGTTGCATCATGAAGCCCACCATTGAGAATTACAGTCTTGCTGTCGAGGAAGTGAAGGTTGATTCCAACATCCTCAACACCATGACCGAGGCGGAGCTCGAGCGGCTCACCATGACCCTCCTTAAGTTGCATCGGCGATGTGGCCATCCTGGGCGACAAGCCTTCCTTCGTACCTTGAAAGCCCGAGGTGCTGATGAGCGGACGTTGGCTGTAGCTAATCAACTAAAGTGCCCAGAGTGCTTGGAAAGTACTCTGAAGAAGCCTGCGCCCCAGGTTTCACTGGAAAAGGAAGAAGTGCTGTGGAACACTTTGCAAATGGATGCCTTCGTGTACAAGCACGGTGGCCAGGTACATCACTTCATTCTCTTCCTTGATGAAGCCTCCTCCTTCGCGGTTGTAGCCGATATGGTGACTCATCATGTTGACGTAGGTAATCAACGCTTTGGAGTCAGCTTGGATTCAGTATTTCGGGTACCCCAAGAAAATCCGATGTGACTTGGAAGGGGCCTTCCGTGGAAGAGGTCTTGAGGAGTACGCGGCATCAAGGGGAATTGAAATCCTGCCTGTTCCCGCGGAGCACCACGAGTCCACGGGTGATGTTGAGCGGAACATCGGGACGCTCAAACTTCGAATGGAGAAGTTTCTTCGGGGAACTGAAACATCACCTCAACGAGCAGCTTATGCTATGGTGTGTGCGCATAACAATGTTGCACGCGTTGGCGGCTATGCACCATGCCAATGGGCTTTTGGCCGCTTCACCGAGGATCTGGACAACCTGGCCGCGCTCACTGCACAAGGAGATCCTGAGCACGTGATGGTTCAGAACTTGGCGCTTCGACAACAAGCTGAACGCACCTACAGTGTGATGAGAGCTAAAGCCAAGATTTCGAGGGCATTGAACACGAGAGCAGTTCCAAGCACTGTGTTTGTGCCGGGTGACCTTGTGTACTACCAGCGGTACAAGGTTCCTGCAGATCGTCCGGCACATGAGTTGGTGGATTTACCACGCATGCGGACGGCTCGGTGGTATGGACCTGGACGGGTCCTAGCTACTGAAACTCGCTCTTTGGAAGAAGGCGGGGTGAGGCTTCCATCCAGAATCATTTGGATTGTGTCTCAAGGGCGCCTCAAGAAGGTGCATGGCGATCAACTCCGTCATGCAAGTGATGTGGAGCGTGGCATTGCTAACGCCACTGAGGCCACCACCTTGCCTTAGACGTTCTCTACTGTCGTGGGTTTACTTGAACAAGGGAGCTTTGACGACCTAACTCGGGCAAGACCGGGACGAGGAAGCAGTTCAAATCCAACCACACGGCACGTAGCAGAAGTCGAGCCCGGTCTGTTCGTCGTGAAGGTGCACGAAGTGTGGAGGCACTACCACGACAACCAGCTGAATCTTCTGTTCCTGCTCCTCCTCGTCCTCACGAAGGTGTTTCTGCCGAACCTCGTCCGCCCAAAGTACCACGACGACAACCACCTGAAGCCGCTGCACCTTCTGCTCCTCGTCCTCGTGAAGCCTCGCGTGAGCGCAGCCCTCGAGACCACAGTCCTGCCTTAGGAGACTTGCTTGACCCGGTCGTTCAGAGCCTGATGAGGCGCTTAGCTAGTGCCACTGAGAAGTCTGGTGACTTGAGGGTTCAGAGAGGGCACCGCAACTTCTTTGTTGACAAAGGCGAGCTAGAGAACTTCGTGGGTTGGACCAATGATCAACAGAATGAAATCGCCATGAGTGTCGAAATAGACCTTCCTCAAAGCGAATCAGAGTGGAAGCGCATTCTCAAATGTCCGATGAAGTTCACTGCAAAATCAGTCAACAAGGGTGCCGAAGTTTCCTGGGCGAAATTGAACGAGACACAAAGGAGAGCGATGACAGAAGCTAAACAGCTTGAGGTCGCTACGTGGCTGAAAGAAGCCGTATGCGAACGATACCGTGGTGTAATCCCTGCGGGGAGATTGATCCGCATGCGATGGGTCTTAACGATCAAAGGGCTTGACCACCAACCACAGAGGGGCAAATGCAAGGCACGGCTGGTCCTATTAGGATACAGCGACCCGGACTTGTTGGTGCCAGAGTTATCACATGCTCTCGGTGTACCGCAGGGTGAAGCTGTTCGCCTCGTAAAAGCCGCTTACGGCCTGGCGAGCGCTCCGAGGTCCTGGTTTCTGGATGTCGCTGAAGTTCTGCGCGGGAAGTGTGGTCTTCGACAGCTCAAAAGCGATGCATGCACGTGGATCATGGATTCACCACGTGGGCCCATAGGAGCCATCAGTCTGCACGTGGATGACTTTCTCATCTGCGGAGAGGAAGCAGAGCCTGCTTGGCAAGAAGTGCTGCGAGTGCTCAAGGGTTCCTTCCGCTGGAGCGATTGGGAAAACACCCCATTCGTTCATTGCGGGGTGATGATTGATCAGCTGCCAGATTACAGCTTCAGTCTGTCTCAGGCCGAGTATTGCCTGGAACTCAAGCAGATCGACTTGGATTCTGCTCAGACAGAAGGGATCTCAGCTGCAGAAATGACTCAAGCCAGAGCCCTACTTGGAGCCATACAATGGCGAGTACAGCAAACTGCACCTCAACTAAGCTCTCATGGCTTCAATCTGCTCTTCCTCGTGGTGGTCGTGACGTGCTGACGGCCATCAACAAACTCTGCCGCGAAGTCTACGCACAGAGGCATGTTGCAGTATCGAAGATCTCGTTTTCACCTGCTGGACGGACGCAGCTGTTGGAAACCGTCCTGACATGAGCTCAACAGGGGGCTATGCAGTCGGCATGGCGAATTTCAGAGGGAGAGCAAGAACTCACAGTGTGCCTGCCGTCTCCAGTGAGCAGAAATGCTAGGGCATACTCCGGATCTTCGAAAAGCGTGGGAGACAGCAGCTAAAGTGCCGGGCGCTTTAGTCGTGGACGCGAAGTCAGTCTACGACGCAGCTTCGAAGGGTGATACCGCTTCATCCTTGTTCTCCATGAAAGAGAAGTATGCAGCCCTTGAGCTCATGGCTGTTGTTGAGTCCATCGGCTTGATGAACACGTCGTTGTTGTGGGTTTCTTCGGAGGCTCAGCTAGCCGACGGCCTTACCAAGTCTCAAGCTCAAGACTACATCCGGGGATTCCTTCAGGGTCTTCAAATGTGGACGGTCAAGTATGATCCAGACTTCGTAGCAGCTAAGAAGAAGAAGGAGAAGAAGAAGAGGCTAGAGCATCGTGAAGATGCCAGTGCAGCTTCATGTACAGCCGTACTCACCGCTGCCTCCGAAAGAGACTTTTGGGGCATGTGAGTAGTTGAAGCATTGCAGTTGTTCTTTCTGCACCAGCGGTGAGCACTTTGAAAGCTCTTGCTGCACGCGGCTGTTTGGCTGCAGGGGCCCTTTTACCTTAGCGACTTTGAGAGACCTTAGTGCTACGGAAGTTCGTTTGTGAGGCGCCTGCAGCAGCCTCGTCTTGGGACTGAAGGCCGACGCACCTGGAGCTCGGCGTGGAAAAGGATTGGCGCGACTTTGTCTTCGAGCGCCTTGTGCTTCGGTTGTCAGTCTCTTCTGAGATCCGCCGCCCTCATTTGGCGAATCCGGTTCAGCAACTGTTCTGCATGTGCCTCAAATTAAACATCCCGCCGCATTTAGCGATTCCGCTTCATCAGATATCTCAACCCCGCGCCCTCATTTGGCGATTCCGGTTTGTCAACCAGGCGTCGCGTCTTCAAAAAGAGCGGGGGTTAGAAGGTTTATCTGGATTTCCTAAGCCCGGCCGCCGGGAGCCGCGCACCCTACACAACCGCAGGTCATGAACCCTTCATCCCAGGGTGTAACACTTCAAGCAGTAGGTGATTGGACCACTTTGCGATTGCAGGGAGAAGAGCTTAGGAAATGGGCAAAAGAGTTCTGGGCTCAGCCTCCTCAAAGCATTTGGGGTGTATCATTTACTTGGGGCCCGTACCAGGGTTTTTGAAAGATTCCATGTGTGTTCTGTTTTTCCTGACAGGATGTTGTTTCCAGCGCGCTTGCAGAGCTTACCGACAGATACCAAAAGGCTGTCCCTTCGGCTAGTGTGATGGATGTGGAAATTCTGTACAAAGGTTTCGTGCTCGCTGCACTGTTTTTAATCGTACTACCGTGTGTACAAAATGGCTGCATTCGATGATGCGGCGTTTATTAAATAGTTGAAAAGCACTTTCTGACGGCTGATGGAAAAAGACCCGGAAAGGAATGAACTTCAGGGCTGGTTTTGAAAGCTTTGCTTCCCAAGCTGCAGGGCCTGAGTGTTTTATAGAGGTAGGTGCAGTAGCAGTAGTTGCAGGAACAGTGCATGATTGTACATGCTGCATACAAGCATGCAAGCAAGCAAGCAAACAAGTAACGGAGCATATCAGAGCATCATGCAAACAAGCACGAGAAGCAGGTAGCCATCAGAAAGTGCGGTACCTCAGTACTGATCGCTTGCTCAATGCTGTGAACTTCGCATCCTGCTTCGCTCATTCTTGCGCTCAGCACAGATGCCGCCGTCGTCGACGACGACGACGACCAACAACAACAACAACCACAACCACAACAACAACGACAACGACAACAACAACTACAACTACAACAACTACTACTACTACTACTACTATGAAATGCGGCACTGTTAAACTCATTATTGGTGTGGTGTGTTGTGGGTCTGCTTTGCATGTTTGTGTGTATCTTTTGGATTGATGAATTGAACAGTGCGGCACAAGCAGTTTTGTGAACGGTGTGACATGCATGTCGGACGCCCCAGGGAAACAAGGACAACTTTTGGCGCCTGGTTGCGGTTAGTTGTGGTGAGCCTTCGAAAGGGTTTTTTGACGATTCGGTTGTTGCTTGTAGCCTCAAAAAGCTGTCCGAACTTTGTACAGATGAAAGCTCACTAGTTGGAGGTGGAAAGAAGCTGCTTCCCTGTATTTGTCTTGCCAGCAAGTCAGATATTGGATGGTACTCTGCGCATCTGTCGTGTTGGCGACATTAGCTCTTGCCATTCGGGCTCACCCCGCAGGACTGTAGCAAAGGGAGTCAGTTCACTTTTCCAGAGGAGGCGACTCGACATGTTGGTGTTCTTTAGTATTTACTTGGTTGTGTTACTCAGTGATGCTAGTCGCCTCCTTGTCTACCTCGTGACCGTCGTGACCCTGCAGTGCTGACCCTGTCGTGCCAAGTGGGTGACAAAAACTACTACTACT